CACAGGGAGCCAGTGACAACGGGCTAGCAAGGTTTCCTGGGGAAAGGCTCTAGTGATTTGGAACAGATCCTCTACAGAGAATTTATGGAAAAGCATAGGTAAGAAGAATTGCCCAGGATGAGAAAGCACAAAGAGCTCGGGACATACGTGCCCTCTGGACATACCCGCACCAATGCAAAAATGGATTCACTGGGCCAGAGTATTGCTATTAAGCCTTATTCCTCCTATCTGGTATTGGAGGAGTTGATTATTTAGACCCAAATTGAAGATTTTACATTTGTGTCTCTTGAGTTTCACCTCATTAAATTCAGTCCATCATTCTAGTCTTTCAAGATCTTCCTGGATCATAATTCTGTCTTCTAACACGTTAGCTGCCCCTCAAAGCTTCAGGGCATATGCAAATTTGCTAAGTATGTAATCCATATCTCTATCCAAGTAATCAATGACAATTTGGGGGGCCAACAGGGCTGAAAACAAAGCCCTCTGATATGCTGCTGCCTCCAGGATGACATGAAGCTATTAATTACACTCATTTTTAGTCTGATTATTCAACCAATTCCAAAATCAACTAACTAGACCATAAAAATCTATGGAAGATGATCCTGATATTGTGAGGTATGGGGGAGAGAAGGCTGCTGGAGAGTACCAGTGTGCTGAAAGCTATTGGAAACCCTACAATGAATCAAAGTTACAGGGCTCTGTTCTAGATCCTGACCCCCAGGACAATGTTCCTCCCAATTGCAGCTGCTTCCAAAGGAAACAGCCAGACAGACTGAAGGCTCGGGGAATGTAAATTTGATAAGCGTTCATAGAGCCACAGAGATCACTGCTGAAACCAGGAGAGGACATGGGCTTACAGAGACAACTGTGGAGTGAAGTAACCATGGATGCTTGTGACCACAGCCCCCAATACGCTTCATCTGACCAGAGGTGGGCAGCAAACACAGAGTGGAAATCAGCCTGAAGTCACCATCCCAGAGACCAATGAATGCACTGACTCAGAATTCTCTGTAAAATGCCAAGACCTGTCTAAATCTTCTCATGTGCGTCCTTAGGGACGGAAAGGACCTGACTGAAGCCAACTGATCTTTCACACCCTGTGCAAAACACATTGTTTCTCTGACCCCCCTGACCATACCAGGCAATGATCTGGTCTGTGGCATGAGACTCCAAGCAGAGAGTTTAAGTTGCTAGTGATTGTTGTGAATGACCATGTACCGAGGGGAAAGACACTCACAATAATCATTATTATTAACAGAATGTTTTATGGCTTGTATAAGGCACCTTCACACACGTTTTTTTATTTGATCCTTACAAAAATCTTGTGAGGCAGGGAGTCCAAGAGTTATCTCCACTTTACAGATTAGGAAGTAGAAACCAGCAAAGTTGAGTAATTTCCCTTCAGTCACATAGCTATTAAGAGCTAAGGCTGGGGCTGTGACCCTGCTCTCCTGAACGCCAAGCCCAGGGCTCCTGCCACCCCACAGCTTCCTAGCATGGCACAGCTCTAACGCCCATGTGGGGGCACAAGGTTCTTCTCTGCAGGAAACGACAAGGATTTAGATCTGACAATGTGGTAGTGACTCCCAGCTAAATACATTCAAATGCTGAACACCAAAAGCAAACCCCTCCAAACACCCAAGTGGTGGGAAGAAGTCCTCTGGCAGCTGAGCAGAGACAGGCCCCTTCCCTTGGGAAGCGTTCCATCTACCACATTTACCACATTTTGGAAAGATGAGCCTGGTAACAGGACAAAGCAGAAGGGAGATTGGGAGGGAAGCACCGGAGACAGAAGAGCACCTAGGGGTAGGTGCATGAATCTGGAGAGCAGAGACCGGCTAGAGCGGTGGCAGGGGCTGTAAGGAGGAAGGGGAGGGGCACCAGACCACCGCCAAGCAAAGAGCAGCCGGAGCTGGTGCTGGGCCCGAGGAGAAGTGAAAGAGGTGGCGGCGGCAGCACAGCTGTGCTTCGGGTAACAGTGGATGAAAAGGAAGAGGAACGAGAAAAAGTAGGAACATTGGCCCTCCTAAGGCTCCCCAAGCAGCAGGGGCAGAAGTCTGACTGGGAAACAGCCTTAATCTCTTTATGCAGTTGTGCACTGACAGGAAGAGTGACGTCATGAATGTCATGAATTCTTCCAAAGGGGGCTTCATCCACAACAACAATCAGCTACCGGGCATCACCCAGCAGGGCATCAAAAACAAAATGGGAAACAGTATCGCATCTAGTTCTAAGACCCTCTGTGTCTCCTCCCAGATTTCCATGGACTCCTCAGGTAATTAAAATGACAGGCACAGACCTACCATAGAGAAAATCCTGGACGAGAGCTGGGCCCGAGGCCACCTTCTAGGGGGCAGAGAGGCTGGGGCCTCCTGGGAGGCAGGCAGCACGCATGGCAATGAATCAACCATCTTTTAGACTTGCAAAGTATCAAAGTTCCTGGTTTGCTGATTAAATGACAGGATACAGAGCCTGCCCCCAGGGAGCTTAAAGTCTGCTATGAGAGACAGGGAACTTAAATAACAAGATAAGGAGAGAGAGAGAGAGAGACAGAGAGACAGACAGAGGGGCAGACAGAGGAGGGAGAAAAGGGGGGGGGGCGAGAGAGAGAGAGAAAGAGAGAAGAAAACTGGAGGGCTGGATAAGGGGTTTCCCACATAAGGACAAGGACCAGATTCTCCAGAAGAGGCAGCATTGGCTAGGCAGCAGCAGGCTGCTTGGCACAGTGTGTGGCACAGGTCGGCGTAGAATCAATGCATGTACTGGCTTGCCTTGACTTGCCTGGTACAGGCTTAGCTGCTGCCTCCACAGCCCCAAGGAGACAGCCAGGCAGGGTTCCATTCCCCATTTGATAAGTGGTCACAGGACATGAACAGGCATCAGGCAAAGACAGCAAAGCTCTCTACAGTCATATGAGAGAATGCTCCAAATCACCAACTCTGAGGACCACCGCACACCTATCAGAAATGACAAATGCTAGAGAGGAGGTGGGAAACCTGGGACACCAATACACTGTTGGTGGAGTTGTGAATGGTCCAGCCACTATACCCAAAGGGCTACAAAAACATACATACCCTTTGATCCAGCAATGCCAACACTACTAGGTCTACATCCTAAGGCAATCAAAGGGATGTCCATCAACTGGGGAATAGCTAAACAAATGGTGGCCTACGACTGTGAAGGAGCACTACTGTGCCATAAGAAATGACTAGGGGGTTGGTTTCAGAAAACCACGGCAAGACTTACATGAAGTGATTCAAGTGAAGTGAGCAGAACCAGGAGAACGGTGTACAGAGTAACAGAAATACCGTCAGAACGATCAGCTGTGAAAGACCGGGCTACTCTGATCAAGACAGCGACACTCACGATGAAGAATGCTCTCCACCTCCAGAGAGAGAACTCTGAGTGCAGACTGAAGCAGACTGACTTCATTTTACTTTTCTTGCCTTTTCTGTGCCATGACCAATATGGAAATATGTTTAGCATGACATCACCTGCATAACTGATAGCATACTGCCTGCCTTCTCAATGGGTGGGGGATAGGCAGGAGGGAGAAAAAATCTGCAACTCAAAATTTTCAAAAATGAATGTTAAAAATAAACATTAAAAAAAAAGAAGGAGGCAGCTAGGGCAAAAGTGTTATCTTTATCTTAGAAATGAGGTTCCTAAAGCCCAAGGTCACATGACCAACCAGCAGCAAAGGTAGGACTCTATCACACGTCTGCTGATTCCTATCTATCAGGTAGCGCCATCGCCTGTTTACGGTGTTTACAATTCTGTGCCAGGTTCAAGGCTAAAGAGAGATGAACAGCGTGGCCCTGACCCTCAAGTGGCCTCAAGTTGGGGTGACAGAAAATGTCAAGTGCTTGATGCATTTGGCTAAGGAGTCTGACTGTACTCTCCAGCAAATGAGAGTGCTGGGAAGGTTTCTGCTCAGCAGGCAGCACCAAAAAGAGCAGCGTTTCATAAATTAAACTGGTGAAATCATGTAGGACAGAAGAGCTCAGGACTAAGGTGAGAAAGAAAGGGCAAAGGCTGAGGGACCAGGAAAGCATTCCTAAAATAGTCTTGATGGATGGAAGGAAGGGAGGGAAGGAGGGAGGAAGGAAGGAAGGGAGGAAGGAAGGAAGGAAGGAAGGAAGGAAGGGAAGAAGGGAGGAAGGAAGGGAAGGAGGGAGGAAGGGAGGGAGGGAGGGAGGAAGGAAGGAAAGAAGAAAGGGAAGAAGGAAAGAAGGGAGGGAGGAAGGGAGGAAGGGAGGGAGAAGGGAGGAAGGAAGAAAGGGAGGAAGGAAGGAAGGGAAAGAGAAGGAAGGAAGGGAGGAAGGAAGGAAGAAAGGGAGGAAGGAAGGAAGGGAAGAAGGAAGGAAGGGAGGGAGGAAGGGAGGGAGGGAGGAAGGAAGGGAGGGAGGAAGGAAGTAAGGAAGGAAGGAAGAGTGGGCGAGCCTTAATCACGGTGGTGGAAGTGAGGACGGAGGCCTCTGGCAAGCCCTGAAGTGTCCTGGCATCCTGACTGGGGGACATCACCCTCGCCAGTACAGGCACCACCCAGCTCAAGGTGATCATCTGAGAGTTAGACCCAACACGGCAGCAGTCAAGCTCCAGTGCACCCAGGGTCCTGCCCAAGACGAGTCTGACACCTTGAGTCTCAATGTGGGCCTGCTGTTAGGAAAATACCTCTCTGGGCTTGTGGACGCCAGGCTCCTCCTCTCTCTTTCTCCACCAGGTTGTACAAAATGGCCAGCAGCCAGGAATTAAGGGGATTCAGAACCAGGCACAAAGGTAATTCTTTCAGGAAACCAAGAAAAAGCCGAGCACATCTTTCTTTCCTTCTTTTTAAAGCTCGGCCCTAGATCTGATGCTGATCTATCCTAACTAGGACAGACCTCCTCATAACCCAAACAGACCTCGGGAGGCATTTCTGAGGAGGGGAGCTGCTCAGACTGTGATGGGGCACCCCTCCCATCTACGTCAGCCCCACTGTACTGGAAGAAGGCCCCAACCTGATCCAGACGAAGTGCTCCGTCCACAAAGCGCTGCTGGCGCAGCTGTTTGGCGATCCCGTGAAGATTCAAGACAGCCTGGTGGATCTGCTCAATGGAGTGCTCTGCCGACACAGGGGGCAGTTCGTCCTCCCAGAACTTCCTGTCGGGGTGTTCAATCATGCTTTGGGCATGATCATAACTCAGTTTTGTACAGGAGCAGATGATTGTCCGGCCAAACCACTCATCAAGAATCTATAAAGACAGGTAGAAGGCAGAGAATCATTTTTACTAGAAAAACCATTAGAGTTCCACTTAGATAATGGCATCATTCGATAAAGACCCAATGGAAGCTACAAAGCAGGGGAGGACGGGGGGGGGGATCCTCCTGGTGAGAGGAGGGAAGCTAATACATGCAGCGGTGTCCTGTGGGCCCAGGAGGCAGCTCCTCAAAGCTCTATGAAATGGCATGGGGTGGGAGAGAGTGTTCTCTTCCCTTTGCAAAGTGATATGCCCACTCCTCCTTACCTGCCCAGCTGATAGAAAGCCTGGCTCCTTACCTCCAAGCAAGGCTTCTGCTGATTCCTCCAGGGGGCCGTGCCTCCTTCCCTGAAGCTACATTGGATGTTTCTATGAACTTATCTGTGTACATGTCTCTGCTGCTCAGCAGAATGCAAGCTCCATGAGGGCAGGCACTGTTTCACTTTTCTCTTGGAGCCCCCAGCACACACCATGGAGCCCAATATATAGCATTTAATGACTGATTGCTGAAGAAATTAATTTTCCTAATAATATAATAAAAAAATTTTTTGCTGGCATTAACTTCTCAGTGTAGTTCTTTGGTTGGGGGGATAGACAGTTTGAGTGTCAAGCTATTAATCCATCAACAGCCATTTATTAAGCACCTACTGTGTGCTAGGCACTGGACTAAGTGCTAGAATACTAAAAGAGGCAAAAAGACAGTCCCTGCCCTCCAGAAGCTTACAATCTAATAGAGGAGAAAACATGCAAACAAATATCTACAAAGCAAGCTATATACAGGATAAACTGGAACTAATTCAAAGAGAAAAGACACTGGAACTAAGAAGGGTTGGGAAAGGCTTCCTGTAGAAGGCAGGATTTTAGCTGGGAATTAAAAGAAGGCAGGAGGCTGTGATGAGGAAGAATAACATTCCAGATATGGGGGACAATCAGAGAAAATGCCCAGATTCCACAGATGGAGGGTCTTGTTTGAGGACAGCCAGGAGGCCAGTGTCACTGGATCAAAGAGTATATGGCAGAAAGTAAGGTATAAGAAGACTGGAAAGGTAGGAGGGGGTTGGGTTATGAAGGGCTTCAAATGCCAAACACAGCATTTTGTATTTGCTCCTGGAGGCAATAGGCGGCTAGCAGAATTTATTGGGGAGAGGAGAGACGCGATCAGACCTGTGCTTTAGGAAAATCCCTTTAGCGGCTGAAGAATGGATTAGAGTGGGGAGAGACTTGATGCAGGTACACACTCCCTCCCAAACCTCCCAGCAATAGTCCAGGTGTGAGGGGATGAGGGCAGCATCAGAGGAGAGAAGGGAGTGAATGCGAGAGATGCTGCACAGGTGAAATCGATGGGCCTTGACAACAGCTGAGGGGATGACAGAAAGTGAGGAAGCCAGGATGACTCCAAGGTTGTGAGCCTGGGGGACTGGGAGGAAGGTGGGGTGCTCTACAGCAATAGGGATGGCAGGAAGGGGGAAGAGTTTAGGAGGAAAGGTAATGAGTTTAGTTTCAGACATGCTGAGTTGAAGATGTCCATAGCACATCCAGTTCAAGATGTCTGAAATGCAGCTGGAGACACTAGATTAGAAGTCAGCCCATGGGTTGGGGCAGGACATAGTCAGCATAGAGATGGTAATTAGACCCACGGGAGATGATGAGATCAGCAAGTGAAGGAGTGTGGAGAGAGAAGAGGGCCAGGCCAGAACCCTGTGGGACCCCTAGGGTTGGTCAGAGGTCGTGATCTGGAGGAAGATCCAGCAAAGGAGACAGAGAAGGAGCTGTCAGAGAGGTGGGAGGAGAACTGGGTGGGGGGGGCAAAAACTTAGAGAGAGGAGAGCCTTGAGGAGAAGACAGCGATCAACCAAGTCAGAGAGGCTGCGGAGAGCTCAAGGAGGACGAGGACTGAGAAGAGGCCGCTGGATCTGGCAGTTAAGAGACCCTGGTGACTTTGGAGAGGGCAGCTCAGGTGGGATGATAAGGGCAGAAGCCAGAGGTAAGGGGTTAAGAAGAGAGAGGAGAGAAACTGCAGGCTCCCATTGCAGATGGTCTTTTCCAGGAGTTTAGCTATAAAGGGCAGAACAGAAACAGGGCGATAGTGACCAAAGGATCAATGGAGGGTTTTTTCCAGGATGGGGGAGGCCTAGGCAGTAGGAAAGGAGCCAGTAGAGGAGAGACTGAAAATCAGTGATGTAGGGATGACAGAGGGGGATGAATGGGGTTGGCCTTGGTCAGGAGAAAGACCACCTCCTCATGTCAGACAGGGGTGAAGGAGGAGATGGGACAGAAGGCACCCGAGGAAGAGGGGAGAGTCATGGTGAATGGCCTCAAATTTTTCTGTAAAATGGGAGACAAGATTCTCAGCTGTGAGGAGAGGGAGAGGGGGAGCTGGGGGGTTTGAGGAGGGATTAAAAGGTCTGGAAGAGCCACTGTGGAGCATGGGAGAGCGAGTTGATTAGGGTGGTATAGTAGGATTGCCTAGCAGTAGTGAGGGCCCAGGTGAGGTGGTGTAACATAAACTTGTAGCAGATCCAGTCAGAACAGTTGTGGGATTTTCTCCATGTTTGTTCAGCAGCAGGCACACCTTTCTAGGTGCGAAGGCAGAGGTGACAATTGGTGGGAATGATCCAAGGCTGAGGCCCGCCTGGGCTTAATCAG